ATGCCTTTGCATAGTCAATAAAACACAGGTAAACATCTTCCTAGTATTTTCTGCTTTAAGCCAAGATCCATCTGACATCAGCAATGATATCCCTTGTTCCACGTCCTCTTCTGAATCAGGCTTGAGTTTCTGGAGTTCCCTGTCATGTACTACTGCAACCGGTTTTGAATTATTTTCAGCAAAACTTTACTTGTATGAGATATTAATGATACTGTTCCATAATTTCCACATTCTGCTGCATCACCTTTCTTTAGAATAGGAACGTATATGGATCTCTTCCAGTCGGTTGCCCAGGGAGTTGTCTTTCAAATTTCTTGGTATAGATGAGTGAGTGCTTCCAGTGTAGCATTGCTGAAACATCTCAACTGGGATTCCACCAACTCCTGGAGCCTTGTTTTCTGCCATTGCCTTCAGTGCAGCTTGGACTTCTTCCATCAATACCATCAGTTCTTGATCATATGATATCTCCTGAAATGGTTAAACACGGACCAATTCTTTTTGGTACAGTGACTCTCTGTATACCTTTAATCTTCCCTTGATGCTTCCTGCGTCGTTCCGGAAATGTTCCATAGGGTTTCCATGGAGCGGCTGGTGGATTTGAACTGCTGACCTTTTGGTTAGCAGCCAAGCTCTTAACGACTGGATCACCAGGACTCCATCTTGCCCAAAGAATACTTCAATATTGCAACTAGAGGCTTGAATTTTTTCTTCAGTTCTTTCAGCCTGAGAAATGCTGAGCATGTTCTTACCTTTTGCTTTTCTAACTCCAGGTCTAACTACATGTCTCAGGATTTTTTTTGTGTGTGTGTGTAGAAACAAAATATATGGTAGCACCTCTGGGTACCGGCCCCCACTATTCCTTTCAGGGCTTATCTATATGTGCTTGTTTCTTTAGTGACTGTCTCAATCATTTGAGTCGAATCTATACCCCACTCCTACCCCAAGCAGTACTCATCCTCAGGGAGTCTAGCCTTGGGTACAACCCCAGGGATATCAGTGGTTTTGGCAGGGTTCTCTTTGTCCATCTCTTTCCTTGACCACATCTCCTGTTAAGTTCCACTAATTGTTCACTGATTGCGCTGTTGTTTTCAACAATGCACTGGACATAAATTGCTCTCTAGAGTAATCCAATCAAATTCCAGCTCCTTAGGAGGAATAGTTTCTTGCAGTTTGTGTTTGGTATTTGTTCTGACCCCAGGAAGGTTCCATCTTACCATCTCTTCTCCCTGGTTCTCTCGTGCAAACAAGCTGGCCACAGTTTAGCCTGTCTGCTCCCTGCACCTAGGAATCTCTTCCCAGTTGCCTTTCATCAAAATCCCCTGTAGAGAGCTCTTATGCAGGAACTTCTCCATTCCATGTTGTAAACAGTCAGTTCCTCTGGGAAATATCAGGAGCTACCTGTTTTAGAACTTCTCTCTCCAGGCAAAACCTCTAAGCCAGGGCTCTGAAGCTGGGGATGGGGGGTCACAGCCTGAGGTCTTCTTGGCTTGCCTCTCCTTGTGTGGAACCACTGCCTTATAAACTGAGCCAAGGGTCATCAGTGTCCCCAGTATTTTCAGCAGCAGTTTTGTTCCAAGGCACAGCCTCTGTTACACAGTATAGGCTGGGTGAAAGAAGGAAGACTCCCACTCACCTCTTGATCACACTCGCCTAGAACTTGAGTCTCAACAACAGGTAGCGGAGGACAGGATGAGAAATGCTGACATCCGACTCCTCCTGGGAAGAATGGCCCTTGACTCAGACATGGGGGAAGGAAACCCTGTTTCCCTGGCTGCACCAATCTGAGTGAAGTTTCTGCCCTGTTGAGCTGAGAGGAGGGGAAGAGTGGTCTTGGTTCAAACACCATATGCTTACTTTTCTCGGTGCATTTTTCTATATACTCTTGCATAGATGTTTCTTCGTTTGCTCTATACCCTGATGATTATTTCCAGAGGCTTTAAAATGTCTTTTAAAATAAATTTTCACCAGTATTACTGGGGTGTGAGTTAACTCTCGTGCTGCCATGCCAGAAGGTTATCTCTGCAATCTCACTTTTGAAGAAATCACACTGTATTGTTAACAGTTTATGTTATCATATAATCAGTCAAAAACTGACATAAACACTTTGACTTCTGATGGAGCTACAAGCTAGCTGTAATTGGGAAAGTATGTTTGAATGTGGACTGATATTACAGTGATGAATTTGTTGGGAATACTTTCACATTATGATGATTTCTGTTGCCTATAAGACCTAGTAACTTCAAGGATGCATAAATATCCAGCTATTGAAAAAAACCCATGGTAAAAGAAATAATGCTTAACACAAAAGGAAAAGGCAATAAA